TCCCTCTCTATTACATATTCGTTTCTTCTACTTTCGACCAATAAACTTTGGAGGTAAGAAACTTAAACTATAATGTTGATTCTAACCGTTTCCTAATTTTTATACTCGATCGACACATTTTTGGATCAGACTTCTCTTTGAATTAGACTCATAATTTTATATAAACTACACCCAACATCCAAGTTATTACATATTTTTTATTTAATTTGTCTATTAGATTGAGATCACTTTAATTCTTTATGTTAGTTTTCTCTTAAAAAATTCATGTAATCTTTGGTAGGAATAAGATTTTGATTTCTACATCTAATATAAAGTAGCATTTAATAGTTTTATGAATTTTAATAAATTAAAGTGTAAAAGACTTCTTTCTTCGTCAACAAATCAGAGATGAAATTAAATTTGGACATAACATTTGTACCTAAGTGAAAACCGAACAAACTGATTCGAACCGAACCGAACCGACTTGAATCGGCTCGCTTCAGTTTTGAACCATATGCAACCATATGCAGTTCGGTATGTTTTTTCCATAAAAATCATGCTCCACAAGTAAAATATATAGCTTATTTGTACTAACGCTTTTCAGCGATCGTACTATTATAGCATTCAAGTCACGTTTATATTGATTGAGCTAGCATTATACATGCTAAGAGTATACATTTGTATCTTTCAATTCTCATCACCGTTTTCTAGTAGCTGTACTGGGGCAACTCTAGATAATTTGATTTCTTTTGATAATGAATTAAAAGCGGATTTAGTGGGGGAAATGGTACCGTTTTGTGGACCTAATTAGTTTCAACCATTGAAGACCACTAAACCCTAAATCTTTATGAAAACCTAAGAGTTTTGATGCAAGTAATGACTGCCAAACATTAATAGTATATGGATAATGTTGGTTTGAAATTGATAATGAGATGTACGTCATGCATGATCACTTCCTTTGATGTGTGATTTTATATACAGTGTCTTTTCTATCAATTTGTGTTGGTGTGGATTTTTGAGAAGAAAAATAAAACTACGATCACTTGAACAGGACCCAGATGATCCCCTATTGATATAAAGTAGGAATTAGGCTAACTTCAGTGCCCCAGCCCAGCCCAGCCCCCAAAGTGGGGGCCATGTACAAAGTGAAAATAAGACATGGAAGATGATCTGTCATCTTGGATAGATGCTATTTGAGGAAACCATGGTCATATCATCGTTCAATGCATACATGAACTATGAACTATGTACGTGTATAGATGGAATGGATCTATCAAATGAGAGAACAACAAAACAATGTCCCTATCAATCACCTGTTTTCTGGTTGGTTTGTAGTATTTTAGTATCTGATCTCTACATGAATGTTTGTCTTCACACATCAAACAACTACCGCTATTTAATATCATGTCACCTAGCCCAACGTACTTGGTCACATTGTTTCTTGTCTCGCCTTCTCGAAAGCCTTGACGGCCAGTTTCACGTTATTCTTAATAGTTCTTTCACTGGTTCACTCTAGACAATTTCTTCCCAAAGTCTAAAATACATGAGAATAATCATGACATCTCTTCGCCTATGCTACTGAATAACTCACGAAGGGATGAAACGGCGGTACATCTCCTCTTTTTTATTATAGTCGAAAAGGTTAAAGGATAATTTGACAAGAGAGTTTTTTTTTATTTCTTTATTTTGAATTACAAAAATGCAAAGGAGAAAGAACATTTTCTTTTATTAACATATAATATCATGTCTAAATATCAAAAAATAAGCTAGGGCTCTTATGTAGATATAATTAGAATTTCATATAAAGTCTGATTAATCAAATAAATTTACAAAACAAAATTAGATTTTAAGAAGTATTGCACCTGTGAAATATAATTCAAATGGTAAATGATTCGATATCAATTACAAATCATTATGAGTTCAAATCTCCTTCACATTTTCATCTAAAAAAATATTATATATACTTCGATCATATTTGTTAAATACGCCTTTGTCTCTTTAATAATTAAATTTTCAGGACAAACATATGAAATGTTAAACGGCAATTTCCTTTGAGTTACTGACAACAGTGTTTATTTAATAATATCGAATTAATTTTGACAAATTTGCTTTCTTGCACGTCCATTATTCACGTGCTTGTAATCTGATTCCCTTTCATAGGACTACGTTAAAAATGAAAACTAGTGTAAACTCAGAATTTCTTTTCCATGCTTTCGGCTATATTCCAAGTTTATGTTATTTATTTGATTCTCTATATATAACTTGGAAACTATGCATGTAAACTCGGAATTTCTTTTCCAGTTTTCGGATATTCCAACTTTTTATTATTTATTTACTTCTCTATATATAACTTGAAAACTAATGTAAACTCGTAATTTCTCTTCCAACTTTCAGCTATTCTAAGTTGTTGTTATTAGTTTGATTCCCTATATATAAATTTTTTTAGCCTTAAATATAATATATGGTTACCAAGTCTATTGCAAAACTTCAAATTTATTGTAAGAATTAATACACGTCTATATCGATTTTTTCCGGCTAAATTGTTATAATGGTAGTTGTGGAACAGGCCATTAGACTTTTATACATTGATATATATTCAGTTTGTTTTCTAATACGTATTTGATGGAATTTGAGAACGCACTGGTACAGTACCATCAATTAAGCACATTTCTAATGCTGCATAACCTGAAAATAATGAGAAAATTCAAGAATCAGAATTTATAATACAATATATATCTTTATGAATTTCACCGGCGGACGTTTTCTCCTCGTTATTGATTGCAAACAATAATGAGGCTAGTTCCAATGTCCCGAAGGATAGGGATTAGGCAATTAGGCTACTATCGGCTTTGGGCCTTTGTTCAAAGCCTAGGTTTCTTTTGATTGATATTAGCTTGTTGATTCTAGAGCTACTTTAAACTCTTGACCAGACTCCGCAATAGTTTGCAAGGAAATCATGAGCCCGTTAGAATTTATGCGATTAATTTATAGTAACTTATGACCACTATTCTGTATAAAATGTATTTGATGGACTGTAGCTTGGGATTTTAAACTTTCTGCTTCGGAGAGAGGGGGGAGTTGATTGAAGTTGAGTTTTGGGTTCCAAGAAAGATATCTTTCAGGATCTCTGATCTCTAGTCCCTTGTCCTACTCCACTATTATTAAGTATCTGCAACTGGAAGTTGTCACTTCTATCCACATCAATCCACAGTATTTTAAAGAAAAATTAAGGTCATTTGTCCATAGCTTATTTATTTATGCATTCAACATTAATTTTCAGGGAGGAAAAAAAAAAGAATACTAAACATGGGATTTTAAAAATTGTACTCTTCAAGAATAATTTGTTACCGTCGCAATGTTTTTAATTAAGTGAGCAAACTCTTTTTATTTCTCCTGAAATAAGTAAAAGTTTCTTGCGCATTGCGACTTGTTATTTAGGGGCTGTTTGGTTGGTTTCCTAAAAACCAAAAAAAGAAATCGGTACAAGAAAATTAATAAAAAAAAATATTTTTATCCATTTCCATTCCTAAAACTCACGCACAACATCCAATAAAATATTATTTTTATCCTCTAACTCATCTCATTTCATCTCCTTTCTTACCTTTAAAATAAACCAAACACAAGAAATATGTCACATCATCCAACTCATCACATCTCACCTTATCCCATTTTTAAAAATCACACACATTATCCAATAATATTGTGACAACTCATCTCATCTCATTAAACCTTCATTTTCATCAATTTCCTCAAAAAAAAAACAAGAAATTGATTTCCTTAAGTATGTGTCACATCATCCAATAATATACCTCCAACTCATCTCATCTCATCTATTTTCTTATTTTTAAAAATAAACCAAACACAAACAACCTCAAAACATCATCCAATAATATACATCCAATTCATTTCCTTATTTTTTTAACCAACCAAACAACCAAGTTTTTTTAAAAAATCACTCACATCATCCAATAATAAGGTGACAACTCATCTCATCTCATCTCCTATTCTATAATTTCCTTCTTTTTTAACCCAACCAAACAACCTCAAAACTTCTATAATTTCCTTCTTTTTTAACCCAACCAAACAACCTCAAAACAATTATTATAGGAAATAGGTTTCATATTCTTTAATTTCCAAGTTTTTTTTGCGAAACAAACGGACCCTTAGGGGCTGTTTGGTTCGTTTCCTAGATATAGGGAAATACAATTCCATATAGAGAAACATAATTTTTGAGTTTTCTAAACTTTTCTAAGAAATAGATTGTTTCGCTTTGGTTCGCACATAAAAAATGGTGGGAAACAAATGTATTTACTTTTCTTGTGTTTGGTTCGCATGGGAAAAAAAGGAAAAACTTTTGTTTATATGACATTTCCTAGTTTTCTTGTGTTTGGTTGGTTTTGAAGTTTGTAAGGAAAAGTGTTTATAGTCACCATGATAAGAATACCCCCACCATATTGAAATTTATTTGTGCTCGTTATATGTAGTACATACCTGAATTACCCAAAAATTCTGCTGAAACCTATAAGATTGCTAGCTAATTACAACCAGAATCATTCGATACAAATATTAGAACAGAGAAGGATAGCACAATGCTCGATTCACAAACAAGTAACTTAATCTAACTCTAGCAGAGGATAAAACTACGAAGGATAGCACAATGCTCGATTCACAAACAAGTAACTTAATCTAACTCTAGCAGAGGATAAAACTACAGAGAATCATTTGATATGCTCGATTCACAAACAAGTAACTTAATCTAACTCTAGCAGAGGATAAAACTACAGAGAATCATTTGATGCAGAGTTTAGAATTGAGAAGGTTCACACAACGTTGACACGCTATCAATCTTGTCAGATACAATTTTTAGCAGAGCATCTTCGAACTAAATCAGATTTTTTGACAATGAGAAAACATGACGACATACTTACTTCCAACACCAATACGAAAGCATCAGTGACAACTAGCTAACATGACGTTGATTCGCACAACATAGTTCCCTGATAAAAAATCAGCAGCTTGACTCAATGGAGAGAATCTATATTCTTGCTCAGCTCCTCAAGCTTTTTCATCCTCAGTCTTTCACTCTTAGCCACCAGCTGCTCAGGCATCAAAGGTATGGCTATCGTAAGCCGCGATATTATGCAAACAACAAATGAAAGAAAATGAAATGTACCTCTATTAATTTGTTGACCAGTTGAGATTTCTCCTTGTTTTTCTCATTGAATGCCTCGAGTGCATCTTTGTATTCCTTTTCCTTCATTGATGACAAATATAGATTAATCTTGTTAACAATGAAAACAAGCAAGAGTTATATTAATCGAACAGACTCAAACCTTCTTGCGGGAACTTTGTCTGAGAGGCTTTAATTCACGATTAACCACATCAATTCTCTTACGTACAGCTGCAACTTCTTTTCTAGCATGGTTTAGCATCAACAGTAGATGCACAAAACTAGCCGAGAATAAAAGCACAACACAACTAGGTTTCAAGAATACCAACCAAAGCAACCATCTCCATTTCTTTTGAAAATTGAACAAACAGCCATGGGAGCTCGACGACGAGCACAAATAGTAACCAAAAACCCAACAAGCTAAACAAGTTCGAATCAGCATAGTAAGAAAAAAAGTGCATACATATGCACAAAAAATTAGCCGAGAACAAACATGAACACAACCACATCCACACAAAACCGAGCTGGTATCAATCGTAACAAAATCAGGCTCACAAAACTGCATACATATGCACAAAAACTGACCGAGAACAAACCTAACCATAAAGAGTGCATCTGAAAATAACCCTAACGATAATTAAAGTTAGCCAATACAATATATACCTGAGCAATGGTAGGAACTTGGGGTTGGCTATCTGCAATGGCTACAAGATACATCAGATTCCTCTGAAGCTTAGCCAATACAACTAGGCTCACAACCAGCCAGCCAACCAATCAATGAGCCAACAACACAACCAACCAAGCCAACCAACAATATGTGCCAACCAATAAGAAAGTGAAATAATATGTGCATGTTCAGGCTCACAACCAGGCTCACAAACAAGCACAAAAGCAACCAAAAACCACCCTCCCCCAAACAAGCACAAAAGAAACCAAAAACCCAACAATGAATATGATACACCCACCAGCCAACCAAAAAAGAACCATGAAACACCAACCAACCACCAAAATGAACCAGGAAACACCATCCAGCCACACAAAATGAACCAGGAAACACACATCATGCACAGCCAATGAACATGAAACTTAGAAAATTTCATGGTTACTAATCTCACTAAGAAAATTAGTGAAATGGGCTCAAAATCTAGTCAATATCATCATTGTTAGCCATCCAGTGTAATATTAATTGATATTGTAGGTTGCTAATCTCAGAAATTTTGACAATCATCATAGCCTAAAGTAAATAGTCATCAATGTAGACTTATTTCATGAAAACTTACTACTAAAAAATAGTCAATATTAATGTAGGCGTTTAAAAATACCTATAGGTGTCCGCACATAGCTCGAGACAAAGAGAAGGTAATGAACGTCATTATCCAAGTCGAAGGGGATCGTCCGAGTCAAAGAGGATCATCTGACGTCGACAAGCGTATGAAGCGAATCGGCAAAACGTTGATGACGTGGCGATGAACCACCAGAACAACCAACGCCAGGTGGCCCACGTGCTCACCGTCCACCACCAAGTGGCTAACACGTTCATCGGTCACCTCCAACTTAACGAAATTTATGATGTGAGTCAGTGAAGCATACGAATCAACGTAACACATGAAATGACAAAAAACAACAAATCTAGGAGTTGTGTTTCACCCAAAAGGGCCGAAACACCATGTGTGACACACACATACCATGTGTGGCTCGGTTATTGGACGTCATAGGTCTCTTCTCCAGCTTTCCAACACATCTTAAATCACTTTATTCTAAGATCGGATGAGAGAGTTAGAGTCAAAATACCCGAGGTGGTACGAACTGGCTTGGCCAATGCTGCCACCAATTAGAAAAAAATACCATGTGTGACTCCCACACATCATGTGTGGCTCGGCCATGGGAAGTTGTAGGTCTCTTCTCTAGATTTCCAACGCATCTTGAATCACCTTATTCCGAGATCGGATGAGAGAGTTAGAGTCAAAATACCCGAGGTGGTACGAACTGGCTCGCAAGGCTGCGAGTCACCAAATGGTGACTCGCACCCATGCGAGTCACGAAATGGTGGCTCGCACAAAGAAGTAATATTTCGGCCATGTTGTAATTTGATTCTAAAGAAACTTAAAACACAAAAGTTGTAGGACTTTTCGTCCGATTTCCAATGCATCTTAAATCATCTCATTCCGAGATCGGACGAGAGAGTTAGAATCAAAATACCCGAGATGGTACGAACTGGCTCGCAAGGCTGCGAGTCACCAAATGGTGACTCGCACCCATGCGAGTCACCAAATGATGGCTCACACAAAGAAGTGATATTTCAGTTATGTTGTGATTTGATTCCGAAGAAACTCAAAACACAAAAGTTGTAGGTACTTTCGTCATCTTTCCAACGCATATTAAATCAACTCATTCTGAGATCGGATGAGAGAGTTAGAGTAAAAATACTCGAGGTAGTATAAACTGGCTCGCAAGGCTGCGAGTCACCAAATGGTGACTCACACCCATGCGAGTCACCAAATGGTGACTCGCATGCATGCGAGTCACCACGACTATTTTGGCCTCCCAAAACCTCCCAAACACGGATTTCGATGTTTTAAGGATTCTTTCGTTCCAGGACCTCCCCAACTATTCTGAAGCTATCATTAAGTACACCTGGGTGGTTATCAACCGTAGATAACATCAAAATACTTAATCTTATCAGAAAATGCGACGACAAAAGCCTATAAATAGAAGCCCAGGGTCTTCAGTTGAGAGGCTTTGAAATCTGAGGGCGAGGTGCTGTCCAATTGAACAGTAAACCATGAATTTCAAAGGAGAATTGGCAGATCTTGGGGAACTTTTTCATAAAGAAAAAGTCTTTGAAAGATTTGAGATTCTCTCTCCCTCTTTTCTCCGGATCAAACATTGTTTTGATCTCGAGAAGAGCCACAATCTCGCTTGGTCGTGATTATCGCTGCTGCAATTGTTTTCTTCATGAAGCAAGAGCATAATTACACTTGTCAACCGGATTTGATCCGTAACGATCCACAGACTAACGTGTCCCCGACATAGGCAAAGATCACACACAAAGCAACAGGAGATAAACTACTGCTATGTTTTGTTTCATAAAGTTATAATCTTTACTTTTTTCATTGTAAGAAGATCTTATAAAAATATCAACTCGAACTTGTAATTGATAAACGGTGTAACAAGTTTGATGACAATGGAAAATTTAACTTTTGACAAAAAAAAATTAGCGACCACAGTGGGAGCCAACAGCTTCGCTGCCAAAGCTGTCATACCGTAACCACGGATCCAAATCCTAATTGATGAAGAAGTCAAGCACGAATTCGACCAAATGAAGTTCGAGGAGTATCTGTCATCCTCCTCCTCCAGATCCTCCGCCCCTCACAAGCGTAGGAAGATCAAGGCCTTCGTTGCTACTGCCATCGCGCCTTGCAACGCCTCTCCGTCTCCAACAAGACCGAATCTGTAGGTCTGGACTCCTCCTCAATCAAGGAGATAGCCGCTGTAGCTACACCAACTTTATCGAAGAGAGCTCCCCAAAGGAAGCGCCAACGCCTCGCGCGCTAATTCGCCAAGACTTTAGAACCTATTGACGGGATCTGCTATGAGACGGATTTGAAACTCAGAAGGCACCGAGTGCCCTAGCAGCAAATAGATGTCCTCTCCTCCAAACCAACAGCGAATGAATGGATCTAAGTCAAACAGACTCGCTCAACCGTCGAGGAGCGTATTCAGAAGCGCCGCGCCTTGATTGCGCATGCACGGATTCTCATGCAAGAAGCGCAAAAGTTAAAGCAAGAAGAGGGGATCAAGAAGCCACCAAAATCATGCCAAGTCCGGAAAACAAATTTCGAAACGACGTCGACAAAAAGTTAAACAGCGTTCGGAACTACCGGAATGCGCGAACCACCAATTGGTGGCTCGGCCAAGGCTGAGCCATCAAATGGTGGCTCGGCCTAGGCCGAGCCACCAAGTGGTGGTTCGCGCCTGAACCGAACCAGTTTGGTTCGGTTCGCAACCGGTTCACCTCCCGTAGTCCCGTTTAAGCTTTCGACAGCCCATGTTTCTGTCCCGATGAATCACACACCTCCAGCAGAACCTCATGGTGGTGTGGACTTGTCCCGATTCAAGATGAGGATGGCCGATTGCCTGGGTCCTTTGCACAAGGATCAATATAAAGTTCCAATTAAAGAACGCTTGGGCTCATTGACTGAACCCCGAGCAACTCATCAAACTGTGACTCGCACACGCCCTCACAATAAGTCAGAGCCTTTCTATAATGGGAAAACTCCTATAACTGACTGCCTTAGACTGCGAGTCACTGTCCAAGAGCCCGTTAAGGTCCCACGCTCACGAATGCGTAGCTCAAAACGTGCGACTCTTGAGAGCGCTAACAAGACGTCGAACCCCCAGAAGGAAACGTTTTCGTTTGACGGTGATGACGTTATACCTAGGAAGTCATGCCGACACACGATAGGTTGCTCTAACAATTATGCCGATGAAATGTACCATTGGGATGGGGATGCGAACAGATCTCGAAAGAGGAGTACCCGAGAGATGGAGTTTCATTGTTCGTGTGCCAAACTAATCAGGGCAGTATTATCAGCGTGTAGCTGCCCCAAGACCGCTCCACAGAGGGTCTTGATATTGGAAAAGATCTCCACCAGAACATCCAAGTCCAATCCAAAGCATTTCTATAGAAAAAGATCAGTTGCGCAAGATGACGAACTCCCAGAAGTCACTATCAATATGGTCGATAAAGGAAAGTCAACGCAGAGTTTCAGTCCCCATCATTTTTCAGACGTATCCCAACGTATAACTCGATTATGTGTGGGAACTACTAGGCGTAGGGACTATCAGAGGATGAATAGAGGATTATCCTCAGATGATGAAGCATCAGATACCAACTCTGCAGTTACCTCTGACAAAATGGTATCTAGTCAAGGACAATCCCACGAGGTGTGTATGATTAACACCGAGGAAGTAGCCAAAATGATTGAGGATGCTCTAGCTAAGCAGAAAGAAGCATTCAAAATTGAAATGAAAATGGCTATGCAGCAGATGAGGGAAGAGCATGACCAACAGATTCGGGCTCTGTCCAATCAACTTGTTGAATCCAGCCGTCGTTGATGACCAAGCATGTAGCGATTCAGATATAGATGAACATATCAATACTGATAACCTTCTCATTGACCAGAATGCTGGGGGTGGCCCTATTGAAGACAACAATACTGGTGGTGGTCCTACCGAAGATAACAATGTCGGGGGTAGCCG